GGGGGGGGGTGCAATGCAGATTCTACTAAAGATCTCTGATTTCTGGTGCAAATACCTCCAATGCAAGGGAGAAAGAAAGAGTGGCATAGAACAAGATCTTCAGATTTCAGTGGTCATATCTGAAATTTAGAAAAGGTGTTAAAGGCACTCTCACAATCGATGTGTGTTTTGTGTCATCAATGGGACTTGGCCATTCAAGAAATGTCTGGCAAAGCAGACATAAATACAAAACACACAATTTCCAAAAAGCATACTGGAGAATCCAAAACTAAGTGAACCTGTCCAACAACATAAGTTTACGGCAGAGATGGGTCTGCAAGTCTCTTGAATTTACAGATTTTATTCTCGCATCCAAATTACACAGTGAACTCATCTACTGGTTAAACAGAAAACAAATGAGTATAAAGAAAGGTGGGAGTTTGACTGCCAAATGCCAAATCATACATTTCCACCAAAAAAAAAAAAAAAGCCCATACAATAAAATATTCATTTCAAAGAAGGCGACTTTATGGTGCAGAGAAATTATCCAGTGTTGCTTTGCAGTATGCAATAATCACATTTTAGGAAAAAAAAACAATGGATGTGTGTGTGAGAGAGAGAGAGAGAGAAAAAAAAGAGAGAGAGAGGAATACTAGAATGTCTGGTGGCACACCAAGAGAGGTGAACAAGCACATTAGTGGACATAAGCAATATGGTGTGATTCACATGCATAGATTGTGTGTATAAGTTTTATATAGAAGATCTGATTTTTTTCATGCAGTGTAACTGATAAAGTAGTCAAGGCATATTCACATGGTGCCTGTTGATTGTAGGGATATTCACCTTTTCCAGCTATTCTTTGTAGTTTTCTATATATTTCTCATAGATATAGTTGCTTTCACATTTTAGTTAATATTGGTTTGGCTGAGTTTAAACATGTATCTAACTTTTTTTCAGAAAAAGAACATATCCAATTTCTCAATCCATTGTGTGTTTTTAGCATAATGCTCAAATATTTGCTGATTATTCCTAGTTTTATTTTGACAATTTCACAAAAGTTCAAAAATTCATCTCATTAAATCTTTATTGCCTGTTCATGCCCTGGCATTAAGTATCCCATCCTTTTTATGTTAGGGAAAGAAAAGATAATGTACAAGGCACAAACAATATGAAATTCAATATAATAATAATATAATAGTAATAAAATTTATTTGTACCCCACCCCTCTGACAATCGGGGTAGCTAACAGCAATTAAAATTCCATACAATATAGTTCAGAAGCTCCAAACATCTTGCTGCAATTCACTTTCGGTATGCAGTAAATACTTTCCTGTTCCCCAATATTTGTCAGAAGTCCAACTTCATCAACAATGTCACTGTGGAGGGAGTGTATCTGATTGATATGGCATGTTTTCACCAGCTAAGCTTGATATTTGATGTGTTGTATTCTTTGCTTTTTTTTTAAAAAAAGTGCAGTTAGATTTATATGCTGGCATCAAGAGAAGTGAGACATAACTATATGGGATGGCATAGCATGCAACAAGATTTCTGTTACCTTTCATGACTATAGCAATTCTCCTGTAGAAGAGATGGACCCCTGTTCACTATATAAGTGAACTAAACTCACCTATTGCCTGGGATGCCTCTATTGTATTTGTTTCAGATCCTTAACCCAAATGCAGTTTTAATTTACTTATTTGAAATATTTACACCAGTCCCAAACTCTCCAGGTGGCTGACAAAAACAAAAGCAATAGCTTCTCTTGCTGATCCAAAATAGATTGCTTCCTGAGACATAATAAAAGATGCAAACATTCCTAGGTCCATGTATAGCAGCTGACTGGATTGGTCTCTAAATTTCATCACAGTATAGAAACTGGAATAATTTCCATCACTGCTCCTAATATAGCAAGCTAGTTTGGGAGGCACTGGGCAAGCTATGTGGCACACACAACTTTGGAATCTTTCTATAACTTCCTTTGTCAAATATGTACTATCTGAGCTAGTTGCTTCCCTTCGCAAAATGGCAGACTTGGTCCACACGATCCCCAACTCAGACTGTGGAATGACTATCCTTTTGCAACTAATACTGACCTTGAAATTCATTTTGTACTGATAAATTTAATTATTTATTAAGATACTCAATTCTAAAATGAAAAAGACATATATAGATATGTTCAAACATGTTAGACATTACCTATATACAAAATTAATAATTATATTTTTTCCTGAATATCATATGTTTTTTTTTTATTTTTAAGTATGATGTTTGATCCTCAATCCTTAAGTATGAGCCCCATGAGATTTCAATTGTATGGAGGGTTAGGTTCAGGAATGGGACTATAATGCATACTTTATCTGCTCCTGATCTCAATGGGAATTACATCCCTCACCATAGAAAATTTCTCCAAATGAGACAATCTATTGATAATCAGAATGCAACACTTCTGCCTTGCTGCATCGTGTTTTGCTGGAAAATGGTGTGTGATACTTTGTTATTTGTCCTAATATGTTATATTGGCTAAGCCACAAACTATCTCAAAGAGGTAAAATAAATAGATTTGTTGGCACTTTTTGTTGCTCCAGCCCTGTTTTTGTTTATATGTTTACAGGGGAAAACATAGATGCCAAATGTCTGGAATTAGGGAAACTGCTGGTAACTTTCCAGGCTGCAATGCCACATAATGTATTTGTCACAGTACTATAGCACAACACACTACAGCATTATAATTCAAATTGTGTTGAATTTTTCTATGAAATATGAATCTGGAGAACTGCAATGCTGAATAACAATGTTGCCTTCAAATCATTCCTGACTTATGATGATCCTAAGGCAATGTGGTGAAACTATTGCACACACCAGCACAGAGTTCACCAGAATTCGTTACTAGAAAGCCAGAGGGATGCAGCACTTTGTGATAAATAAGGATGAGGTGGGGTTGCAGTTTGGGCACTTGCTCTCTAAAAGGTTCGCCATCACTGCCCTAAGATGAACCTATCAGAGAGTTTCCTTAGTATGATTTGTTCAGAAGGGGGTAGCCTTTCCGTTCCTATGAGGCTGAGAGAGTGTAGCTTGCTCAAGGTCATCTGGCGGGTTTCCATGGCTAAGCTGGGATTCAAACCCTGGTCTCCAGAGTCAGAGTCCAGTACTCAGACCACTACACCACAATGACTCATAGGAATGACAATGCTTGACAGTTAAAGAAAAGCAAGTGAAAATTGACCTATACTTGGTATTATGCCTTACATATGACTAATTGATATTCAAGTGAGAATATTTTAGGATGACAATTGTCACTTTTAGAATTTTGGGTTATATTTTAAGCATCTCTGTGTTCATTTACATACATGATATCAATGGCAGCTAACAAAACTGTCTTGTAGGGTGAGGCTCATCATTAGTAGTGATACTACTAGGGTGGGGCTCATCATTACTAGTGATTAGTAGTGTAAATTATTCTTCCTAAATGTTCCCTACCTTTAGGCCTGTGTTAGTAGCCTGGTCACCATGCATTGTGAACTGCTAGCTATTAA